TCTCTCTGGCAAGCACACACACCCTATGGCAAAAACCTCTTTAAAAAAAAAAAGAGAGAGAGAGAGAGAACAAAAGTATGGCTGGAACTTGCTCTGGCCTCTTGCCCCCATGAAGGACGGACCCAGAAACCAAGTGCAGGAAGGACTACAAACTGAAGAGCAAAACTGACAGGGGCTGAATGAGAGCCAGCAAAGAGGAGTGCACAAAGCTCATTCTGTGCAGGGAGCTGAGGCAGGGCTGGTCAGGCAGCCATGCTGGGGCCTCTGAGGGTACCCTCACTCTCGCCTCGGTGCTCAAGGCTCACCTGGGCCCTGTGGGCATGTCTCAGCTCACCAGCATGTCCCTAGGCTGTGACCGACCTAAGGCTGCACTGCCCAATACTGTAGCCACTGCCACATGTGGATACCCAGCGTGGAGAGGGGACTGGTCTGAATTGAGAGCTACTTGCTAGATGTGTGAAATACACACCAGATTTCAAAGACTAAGTATGGAAAAGAGAATGTAAAAAAAAAAAGATCTGTTTTTTAAGAAATGGACTTCCTGTGGGACTAGCAGATGGCATAATGGTTACGTCACTGGACTCCCACGTAGTCGACCACAGTTCGAGTCTGGACCGAGTGACTTAAAACTCATGCCAGGCGAGGGTGGGACCAGCAGTTGGCGTAATGGCTATGTCACTGGACTCCCATGTAGTCGACTGCAGTTCAGGTCCTGGATCTGGTGGCTTAAACTCACACCAGTTGTGTGTTCATGCATGCCCAGGATCCCAAGAGGAGAATAGAGGAGAAGGGATTGTGGTGTGACAATTACCCCCTGGGGGGTAATTTCTCGCTTTCTGTCTCTCTCTTTCTGGTGGGTGCATGCACCCTATAGCAAAAACTTCTCAAAAAAAAAAAAGAAACTCATGCCAGGCATGTGTGTGTGCCCAAGATCCCGAGAGGCAAATGGAGGAGGAGGGACTGTGGCATGGCCATCCTCCCTGGGAGAGGAGGGTGATTTCTCACTTTCTGTCTCTCTGTCTCTTTGTCTCTCTGGTGAGTATACATGCTCTATAAGAAAAATCTCTCTCAAAAAAAAAGAAAAAAGAAAGAAACTGACTTCACATTACCATGATAACATTGTAGGTAGATGGACAGGCCCACACGGCAGTTCTCCCTTATCCGTGGGGGTAAGTACAGCTAAGACCCCAGTGGATGCCTGAAATCTCGGCTCGTACTGAGCCCTAGACTGTTTTCTCCTACACATACATACCTATGATGAAGTTTAATTCATAAACTAGGCACAGGAAGAGATTAGCAACGATAACTACTAATGAAACAGGACGTACAATAACACGCCATACTGACAGTTAGATGAACGTGGTCTCCCTCTTACTCTCAGAATATTAAACTGTGGCTGACCACAGGCAACTGAAGCTGCAGAGAGCAAATCTGCATCTGAGGATAAGGCCCACTGGGCTATTCACATTCATTCCAGCCTTTTATGGTTTTGGGGTGGTGGGGGGGGTTGTTCCTTTGCCAGAGGGTGTGTGCAGTCACTAGAGAGAGGCAGAAAGAGATGGAAAGGAAGAGGGAGAAAGCACCCCGCCATGGGGCATGGTCAGGCTGAGGCCCTTCTCCACTTCTCTCTCCTGTCAGGGTGTGGGGCATACGCGCATACAGCCTGGCCTGTTTTTCAAGCCACTAGGTCCAGGACTCAAATCACATGGTTAGTTGTATAGTATCTGGTTCTCAACCACCAGGCCACAGGGCTGACCCTTCCACCTGCTCTGTTTTGCTGTTTTTGTTTATTTGCTCTGTGTGTGTGTGTTTAGAGAGATTTTTGCTGTGTGTGTGTGCTTGTTTAGAGCGATTTTTGCTATAGGGCATGTGAGTTTGCTAGAGACAGAGAGACAAAAAGCAAGAAATCCCCCCCCAGGAGGGATGGCCACACCGCAATCCCTTCCCCTCCATTCTCCTCTCGGGACTTCGAGCATGCACGCACATGTACCCAGCATGAGTTTCAACCCACCAGGTCCAGGACTTAGACCATAGTCAACCATATGGGAGTCCAGCACCTTGACCACTATGCCACCTGCTGGCCTCATTTTTTAATTTTTTTAATTTGCTACAGAGCACATGCCCTTGCTGGAGAGAGAGACACAGAGAGGTGGGGGAGTGAAAAAACACCCCCTATGGGATATGGCCACACCACAACCCCTTCTGCATCTCCTTTTAGGATTTTGGGCATGTCCACACATACTACTGGCATGCACAGGTGCCTGGTGTGGTTTTTTAAGTTGCCAGGTCCAGGATCTAAGCCATGCAGTTGGCCATGTGGGATCCTGCCACCTTAGCCTCCATGCCACCTGTTGGATCCTTCTTTTGACGAGGAAATTAAAATAGCATATGTAGCTATGCTACATTTCTGCAGGACAGGGCTTCGGTGCTAGGGAGAAATGCTGGCGGGCTGCATGGTGTGATGCCTCCGTCGGGCCACACTGACCACGTCCCCAGACTATGGCCCAGAGAGTTGCAGGAGATATGTGTAGGTCTGCTCTGCATGTCAGCCACACCTGTGCTGTGGGTGACAACGGGGTGGCCACTAGGAGCCCAGGTCTCTTCCCATCCCTTCCCTAGCCCAGGAGCTCACCAGCAGATGTCCTCGGGGTAAGCGGCAAAGGTGACTGTCCACTTGGAGATGCACAGCTCCCTGCTGTAGGGGGAAGGCTGGGGCTCACCTTTGCACCGGAGGCCCTGACATTTGCAGGCATTGAAGTCCTTCAGGATGCTGCCGGGAGATGCACACCTGGTCAGGGCAGCCCACCCAGGCGCCACCTATGTACGTGGCACAGTAGCCTGTGACACAGGATCTTTGCCGTATTATTATTATTTGATTATAATGCCAAGAAAGAGGTGCTGTGATTGGGACGCCATGTGAGAATGTCGCTGAATTCTCGCTACAATCCAGCAAGCTCAGGAAGAGAGCAAATCTGCATCTGAGGATAAGGCCCACTGGGCTATTCACATTCATTCCAGCCTTTTATGGTTTTGGGGTGGGGGGGGGTTGTTCCTTTGCCAGAGGGTGTGTGCAGTCACTAGAGAGAGGCAGAAAGAGATGGAAAGGAAGAGGGAGAAAGCACCCCGCCATGGGGCATGGTCAGGCTGAGGCCCTTCTCCACTTCTCTCTCCTGTCAGGGTGTGGGGCATACGCGCATACAGCCTGGCCTGTTTTTCAAGCCACTAGGTCCAGGACTCAAATCACATGGTTAGTTGTATAGTATCTGGTTCTCAACCACCAGGCCACAGGGCTGACCCTTCCACCTGCTCTGTTTTGCTGTTTTTGTTTATTTGCTCTGTGTGTGTGTGTTTAGAGAGATTTTTGCTGTGTGTGTGTGCTTGTTTAGAGCGATTTTTGCTATAGGGCATGTGAGTTTGCTAGAGACAGAGAGACAGAAAGCAAGAAATCACCCCCCAGGAGGGATGGCCACACCGCAATCCCTTCCCCTCCATTCTCCTCTCGGGACTTCGAGCATGCACGCACATGTACCCAGCATGAGTTTCAACCCACCAGGTCCAGGACTTAGACCACAGTCAACCATATGGGAGTCCAGCACCTTGACCACTATGCCACCTGCTGGCCTCATTTTTTAATTTTTTTAATTTGCTACAGAGCACATGCCCTTGCTGGAGAGAGAGACACAGAGAGGTGGGGGAGTGAAAAAACACCCCCTATGGGATATGGCCACACCACAACCCCTTCTGCATCTCCTTTTAGGATTTTGGGCATGTCCACACATACTACTGGCATGCACAGGTGCCTGGTGTGGTTTTTTAAGTTGCCAGGTCCAGGATCTAAGCCATGCAGTTGGCCATGTGGGATCCTGCCACCTTAGCCTCCATGCCACCTGTTGGATCCTTCTTTTGACGAGGAAATTAAAATAGCATATGTAGCTATGCTACATTTCTGCAGGACAGGGCTTCGGTGCTAGGGAGAAATGCTGGCGGGCTGCATGGTGTGATGCCTCCGTCGGGCCACACTGACCACGTCCCCAGACTATGGCCCAGAGAGTTGCAGGAGATATGTGTAGGTCTGCTCTGCATGTCAGCCACACCTGTGCTGTGGGTGACAACGGGGTGGCCACTAGGAGCCCAGGTCTCTTCCCATCCCTTCCCTAGCCCAGGAGCTCACCAGCAGATGTCCTCGGGGTAAGCGGCAAAGGTGACTGTCCACTTGGAGATGCACAGCTCCCTGCTGTAGGGGGAAGGCTGGGGCTCACCTTTGCACCGGAGGCCCTGACATTTGCAGGCATTGAAGTCCTTCAGGATGCTGCCGGGAGATGCACACCTGGTCAGGGCAGCCCACCCAGGCGCCACCTATGTACGTGGCAAACGGGGACTAAGAGCAGGAGCCTGTGACACAGGATCTTTGCCGTATTATTATTATTTGATTATAATGCCAAGAAAGAGGTGCTGTGATTGGGACGCCATGTGAGAATGTCGCTGAATTCTCGCTACAATCCAGCAAGCTCAGGATTGCACACCGACTTTACAGATAAGGAAGCAGGCTCTGCATGGCGGGTCTGCCTTCCCGTCTGCCCCCAGCACCCTTGCTGTCTGCGCTGCGCCTACACGAGCTCCCCCACAGACTGCCCCACTCCTCCTGCTCAGGAAGCTGCTCTGACATGTTCCTCCTGCTGGCCCAGCGGCTTCGCCCTTCCATTCCCGCATTTCGTCCTCAGCACGGAGAGCAGCGTGAGAGCACATGACGCACTGCCTGTTTCCAAATTCCCTCCCCAGGACCCCCGCCTCGCCCCTCACCATCTCAATGGGTCCCACCCTTTCCACCCGTTGCCTTCTGTGAAGAACCCACCAGCCCCTCTTCTGCTGTCTGAGAACATGTTCCTCTTTCCACCGGCCTCTTCCTGCCCCAGCCTTGCCTCAGGGTCTGAAGTGGGACATCCAGGAGGCCATTCCTAGGGTCATGGCGCTCAAGACAGGGGTAGCAGGGGAAGGGGCATTGGCTTGACCAGCTCCTTTCTGCATCCCTCTCCTGACCCCAGCCTTGCTGTTCCCAAGATGGGATGCCACTGAGATCCCACGCATAGACTCGTTTATGAGCTTATAACCCCCTGCCAAGGGGCACTATCAAAAGCCACTCCTGGGGCCTGGCAGTGACACAGAGGAAAAGCATGATGCTCTCTGGCCCGTGTGGGAAGGTTCCAGGTTTATGCCCGGAGACCTCCCTGAGTACACCAGGCACACGTGCTCATGGTCCAGGGCTGCTGAAACGGGGGTGGCCCACAGCATGAAGATCCTGTTGGGGATGCTACCTCTGTGTCTCTGTCTGGTTCTCTCACCCACACCCATGGGAGAAATAAACAAACCGGAAGGGAGGGAGGGAGGAGAGAGGGCAGGAGAGAGGGAAGAGAGACTCCTTACTCCCCAGGGCCAGGCTCCCCATAGCAGTGACCACCACTGAGTGCCCCCAGGGGCTCTCCCCCATGGCTTTGCTGTTGTGGGAAGACAGGAAGCCCATGGACAGAAGGCCCTCGGTTCCAGTCGGATCTACAAAAGGAGGACACTTCCATCCCACTCAGCACAACGCTGGGACACAGAGCGGACGAGATGAACCCCTGCAGCAGCTGGCAATGAGGCCATATCGGCCTGCGAGGGGGTCAGCGAGAAGCCCACCCCAGCTGCACCACACGCAGCTCCCGCCAGCTCTCATATGAACATGACCAAACTCACCAAAGAGGGAGAGGAAGTTACTGGGAGGGGGACAGAGAGCCAGGGACACACCCACACTCACTAGGTGGCCATGGACTTCTCTTGGAAGGTGACAAAAGCCATTCCCAGGGGCTGGTCCTGAACGTGGCCTTCCTCCTCGGTGATCCTCGCCTGCAGCCTGTCGTTCATGCGTGTGTAGTAAGAGACGGCATCCTCCTGCCAGAAGACACACCCCCCAGGATGACATGGCCCTGTGTGGCAGTGCCCACACTCCCAGCCGGGGATGAGCTCTTACCCACTCGCACCACTGCACTTCACAGCAGCAGAACTGGCCGCAGGGCTTGGGGTTGATGAGGGTCCGCTGGCCCGTCTTCGCCTGCAGGTTTGTGTAATATGTCAGACTCTTCTCAGTCTTCTTCCTGCCGTGCCAGGGTCGGGGAGCACAAATTGCAGACAATTCCTTGGCACTGACCCCACACCCACAGTTCAACCAGCAGTCACAAGGAGAGATGGGGGAGTCCAGCTTTCTGAACGAGGGGCCGCTGTCCTCCCTTCCCAGCCAGGGGACCCCAAGCCAGCAGGGAAGGAGGTGTGTACCCGGCAGGGAAGGGGTCGGAAAGCTGCAGGCCAGCTGGAGCCAGGCCTGCCCCTGCTTACCTCTCCTTGCATAGGTAGATCAGCTTGGCCACGTTGTAGCACAGCTGCACGTCCACCACCTCGCACGTGGGATACGCATCCCTGCAGCCAGGGTGGCCGAGGCAAAAGACAGCCATTGAGAAAGAGAACACTCAGGCAGGGCAGACCCCAGAGCCCGAGGGGGAGAATGGCACAGCAGTCATGCTGCTTGCTTTTGGGCCAAGAGGCCCTCCTTTCTCTGTCTTTTACCATGAAAAGGGAAATGGGGGGGGGGGCTAGCAGATGGTTAGGTCACTGAACTTCCACATGGCCGACTGCAGTTCAGGTCCTGGACCCGGCAGCTTGAAATTCATGCTGGGCACATGGGTGCACATGCCCAAAATCCCAAGAGGAGACTGTAGGAGAAGGGACTGAGGTGTGGCCATCCACCCTGGCGGTGATTTCTCACTTTCTGTCTCTCTGTCTCTCTGGCCCTATAGCAAAATTCTCTCTTTAAAATCAATAAATAAAGGGGGGATTTTGAATTGAATACGAAAGGGCCCCTCTGAATAGCATGGAGGCAACTGCCTGACCCTGACAAGCTTAGACTCACTTGAGGGCTTTCAATCAGCTAGCACTTCCATGAACACACCCGTCACCCCTCTGGTCCCCCGAAGGACAACAGACGTGCTGTTTGCTCTAGGTCAGCCTCTACCTTCCGCCATCACCAAACTCCCATTCGATCTGTAACCTTTTCGAAGGTGATAGACCTTGTAGAGCGTCAAAGGCAAGCAAAAGACCCTCAGTCCAGAAAACGTCTACACATTAACAACCAGCAAAGTCTGTACATACTTACTACCGGCCATTTTAACCTGTGAGGCTTTGTCCCCATTTTATAGAGCAAACCAAGGCCCACAGAGGTTAAGTGGCTTATGCCCAAGGTGACAGAGTTACTGCAGGTCTAAACCCAGAGGTAAATACAGACAGCCCCTCACATACACACCCATACACACAGCTGGGGATTCCCAAGACAGGACCACGACAATTGTCACCTCCTCCATGCCAGGTTACTGTTGTGGGCGTTAGGAACAGAGCCTGCATGAGCTTATAGAAGTGAGAGAGAGCCCACAGCCACAGCACTCACCACAGCCTCCTAAACTGGAACAGTGTGGCCATACAATGTCCACATGGGATGGGGACTTCCTCTTTTCTCCTTAATGCTATACATTAAGTGGGACCACTGTTTCCAAATGTTCCCTAGCAGCCAGGTTGGGGAGCTGTTTCTTTCTTTCTTTCTTTCTTTCTTTTTTTTTTTTTTTGGAGGGGGGAGAGGTTTTTGCTATAGGGCGCATGCGCTCACCAGAGAGACAGAAAGCGAAAAATCATCCCCCAGGGGGTATGGCCGTGCCTCAATCCCTTCTCCTCTTGGGATCTTGGGCACGCACGCACATACACCTGGTGTGAGCTTAAGCCATCAGGTCCGGGACTTGAACCACAATCGACTACATGGGAGTTCAGCAATGTAGCCATTACACCAACTGCTGGTTCCAAGGTTGGGAGCTGTTTCAAGGAACAGGGAAAAAACGATTCCAGTAGAGTGTTCATACACAGTGAATATTGTTAAAATACTTGGAACTTCTGAGGAAGAGGTTAGTCAATAAATTTGGAACACCCGTAGCAAGGTGCCTGCTTCATAAATATTTCAAAGTTCAACTGTTGCCAACCCCTAGTTCAAGTTAGCGACCGGTGAACTGATAAGGAATGAACACTCACTAAGGCCTCACTCCCAGACTGGCCCTGAAGACCTGCTCACCACCCGCTCCCCGCCCCTTTTCCGATGCTCCCCAGCAGCCCCGTCACCCCTGTCACACAGTCTCCTCCTGGCAGGGCCTTTCCTCCAGCTTCCACCTGCAGGAATTGGCGCAGACACTCAGCGGGGGCTGTGGGAAAGGAGCTTCTGCCAGGCGGAGTCTGGCCTCAGACAAGGAGTGTCCCACAACAGACACCTGCTGAGTGGGTGGATGAGCCAACAGAGGCAGACGGGCACAGTCCTACTTCTGAGACTCCAGATCTGTGAGTCAGGGCCAAAGCTCGGCTTGTGTAACGGGGTCTTCAAAAAGCTCATGGAAATGTGTACTAAGCCAGTGCTTGGATATGAAAAACGATGTAGTACCAAAATGAGCTCACGGAGCCAGAAGCGAGCACAGCAGTAAGACACGATGCTCTCCAAGGCTGACCCGCACGGGAAGGCTCTAGGTTTGCCACCGTGGACCTCCCTGAGTACCCTAGGGTCTGGGTTGACGGAAGGTAGTGGAGGGCTGTGGCAACAAGACCACATTGGAGTGCTTCCTCTCTCTCTCGCTCTCTCTGTCTCTCTCTCTTTCTGTCTCTCTCTCTCTTTCACTCATGGAGGAAATAAACTTAAGAAAACAAAACTCACAGTTTTTTTAATAGGTTTTTTCTGCTTCCTCTCTCTCTCGCTCTCTCTGTCTCTCTCTCTTTCTGTCTCTCTCTCTTTCACTCATGGAGGAAATAAACTTAAGAAAAAAACAACTCACAGTTTTTTTAATAAGTTTTTTGTTTTGTTTTGTTTTGTTTTGTTTTTTTGCCTTGGTGCATATGCGCTTGCCAGAGAGAGACAGAGCCAGTGAGACGGATTGTGAAAAATCACCTCCCAGGGAGGATGGCGATGCTACAACTCCCTTCTCCCTCATTCTTCTCCCGGGATCTTAAGCACACATGCATACATGTCTAGCATCATTTTCAAGCCAGGTCCAGGACTGGAACCGGGTCCAGGACTGGAACCACCGTCTGCCGTGTGGGAGTCCTGCGACATAACTGCTCTGCCATCTGCTGGCTCCAAGAACTCATACCTTGATTCCATTTTCCATGAACTTTTTGAAGTCCCCACTTGTCTCTATCCTGCAAAACCGATGCTGAGAACCCCAAGGTGAACTGTTTTCTTTTTCCCCTGTACGCTCAAGTTGTTTATTTGCACCTGCTCCCCAGACGGAACTTGGGACGTTCCAGTCATCTCAGGCATCCAAGGCTACTTGTAGACAATGGGCCACCTGGCCACCGCCCCTGCACAGCACCAGCGGAGCCGGCCCAGGGCAGCCATTCGATACGCGTGTGGCAGGAACTTCTCAGATCTCACCGAGTGGAAGACTAAGGCGCTCACCTACGGTGGCTGCCCATGGGACTGTGCCGATCCCTCTGGGAGAGGGCTTGGCTCCCTTCCACCCCTCTGCCCTGCTTACCGGAAGTGACTCTCCACCGTCTCCTTCCTGGCATCTCGAGGGAGTCCTGTGATGAACAGAGTCCGTCTCAGCTGCCAGAGAAAGTACCAGAGAGAAAAGTCAGTTTACAGGGGCCCAGGTGTCTTACCCTGTCTAAGTCTCCTGAAAGAGAATGGTGGGAAATAAAAGGGCTCAGCCTTTCTCCTTCTGCAGAGCCTGTGAGAGCCCCGGGCATGCCATGCACGCAGCATCATCCTCCAAAAGACACATCTTCAGAGCAATCTGTGAGCCTCCTCTGCATGGCGGGAGACTGAGAAAGAACCCGGAGAGGGGAAGAGATTCAGATGGTGCTGCACAGCAGAGAAGGACTCAGGCCTGGAACCAAGTCAGAGAAACTCCCCTCCCAGGTCAAGGTGTGGTTGCAAAGACAAGGAGCTGCTCTCAAACCAAACTTCTTAAAAGTGACTTAGCATCAGTAATCACAAACCCGAACCCCACCAATCAAAGGGCAAGTTAGGGGAAAAATGTTCAAATCTTAAAGCAATTCACTAGAAAAAAATTTTTTTGGAGAAGGTTTTGCTACAGGGTGCATGAGCTCACCAGAGAGACAGAGAGAGACAGAGACAGAAAGCGAGAAATGACCCCCCAGAGGGGATGGCCACACCGCAATCCCTCCTCCATTCTCCTCTTGGGATCTTAGACACGCATGCACATGCGCCCCGAGTGAGTTTAAGCCACAGGATCCAGGACTTGAACCGCGGTCAACTACATGGGAGTTCAGCCACATAGCCATTACGCTAACTGCTGATCCTGCAATTCACTAGAAAATTTTTAAAAAATTAAAAACCTATGCAAGCCAGATAGATGCCACACAGGCCCCGCCTTGAACTCACTGCTGTCACAGTCCTGTGGCCTAAGCCTGGGAGATCACACCTCTCTGACTCCCACCTGAGCCTCTCCCTATCTTGCATGGACCCCAGCCCCAGCTTCACTCACCAGATTCTCCTCTTTGTACTTGATGGACTGGGTGTGGTGCCGCATGAAACCCACGGTGAGGAGGAGGTAAACGACAGCGAAGATGGTGTGCAGCCAAAGGAGGTCATTGCTGCGGGGACAATGGGAACCATCAGGCTGGGCTTCCAGGGAGAGGATGGGGGTGCAGGGCTCAGGCCAGTTACCCATAGCTTCATCGCAACAGATGCCCCCAGCGGAGGAGGTCACGTGCCAATGCCCTCAACCACAGTAGGCACTTCCATGAGGTCCCAGTCCCTATCCTGACAAATGAACTCCAGACCCACAGGGCCCTCCGTGTTTCATAAACGCCCCGCAATACAGCACTGCTGTGGCAAGTTCGTGCCACGGCCCAGCCACATACTTACTACCTGCAAGGGGCCTTCAGACATTAA